GCTTCCACCTGGCCTACCTGGGCTCGCTCTTCGACATCGACGCCGATGACACCCTAGAGGAACAGGTGGGGGGATGCCGTCTGACTGTACCTCAGTCTTCAGCATAAATAAGTGCCCTACCCGCCTGATCTCTGATTGGACATCAGTCGTCAGCAGATACAGGCGCCCTACCCTCCTGGGGTCCGGCTGTACCTCAGTCACCCCAGGAAACAGGTGGTCCTACCCAGTTAGAGTCCGGCTGTATCTCAGTCACCCTGACAACAGGGAGTCCAATTTCCTGATCTCTGACTATCTCGTTCATCCCAGCAAACAGGCGTTCACTACCTTAGTGAGGCCCAATGGTGCCTCAGTCACCCCAGGGAACAGGCATCCCCTGTCCAGATTTTTGATTGTACCTCAGTCCTTGCCTGGGTGGGATCCGACTATACCTCGTCACCACAGGGATAGTTATTTTCTACTGTCCTAACGTCTAGCTGTACCTGAGTCGCAAGTGGCCTAGCCCACTGGGCTCCGACTGCCCCCTATCGCTCCGGGACACAGGCGTTCCCTCCCCACAACTGTAGCATCTCTCTCCACTGCAGGGCTACGGCATGTCCTACACAGTCTATAAGTGGTCGGAGTTGAGCTGGGCCAGCCACTGGGTCACTTTTGGCTGCTGGGTCTTCTACCGTCTCATCGGCTGAGCTGGGTCGGGCCACACAGATGCCTGTGTGTGTGTGTGTCCTGGTGGGAGCTGACTGTGTCCCCCCAACCCCTACTGAGACCATCGGACACAACCTCAGCTGGATCAGAGCTGGCAAACTTCAGCTGGTGCATCTGACACCAGGGCGGAGGCAGGAGGGGTTGGGCATCAGGGACTGGGTGGGGGGAACCACAGTCCCTATCCCCTACCTAGTGGCCCACCTTTCTCCCCTCCCTGCAGTGGAATGAACTGGATGACCAAGAACTTTGTGATGGTGGGAGAAATGGGATCCAGACCCATCTTATATTATAGGTGCAAAGAGTGGGAACAGACACCATAGAGACTGACCTCTTACTGCATCCTCCCTCCTCTATAATACGTCCTCGTCCTCTCTAGGAATTGGAGGACCAAGATCTCTATGGTCAGTTTGGATCCCACTTCTCCCACCATGTTGTAGGAGCTGGGTGAAAGAACAAACACCATGGAGAATGACTTCTGTCTCTGCATCTGTTCCCCTGCCTGCCACACGCACACCATGCCCTTGTCCTCTCTAGGAATTGGAGGACTGAGATCTCTCTGGTTGATTCAGCTCCCACCCATGCTGTTTCAGCAGAGAGAAAGGGCATACCCCAACCCCTGGCCAGAACTCTTCCCCATGCAACATCCCCCCTAGAGCCTGCAAGACCAGGAACTCTGTGAGTTTGTATGGCCAGAGTCACAGCACGCTGCTACCCCAATTGACCCTGCTCCCCACCGGCTCCCAAACCTGCCACGGGTGGGGGACAGGAAAGTACTGTACTTAGCTTTGGAAAAGGGTTGTTGGGTTTTTTTAAAAAATTGGATTTACCTGTGAAATAAATCATAAAACCGTATCTACTGCCTCCTGCTGGCTGGATTGCTTCATGAGCTACTGTGGCCTTCTCACTTCAGACTCAAGCCTTGTGAACGCCTTCCTGCTTTGGTAATTCCTTGTGGTTGATCATTTGCATTGGGAGAGTCGTGGGCTCTCCATCTAGTGGCAGACAGTTCCGCAGGCTGCGGTCCATTCCATTCGCAAGCGGAGGAAGCCGGACTTGGACCCCGTTACCTGGTGCTTGCACCTGGGCTGGGTCAATGATTGATTAATATGGTGTCAAGCCTTGTGAACGCCTTCCTGCTTTGGTAATTCCTTGTGGTTGATCATTTGCATTGGGAGAGTCGTGGGCTCTCCATCTAGTGGCAGACAGTTCCGCAGGCTGCGGTCCATTCCATTCGCAAGCGGAGGAAGCCGGACTTGGACCCCGTTACCTGGTGCTTGCACCTGGGCTGGGTCAATGATTGATTAATATGGTGACTGACAGAGAAACAAGGACAGGACAGGCTGTTCCTGGAGAGAGGGAGGGGCCGGCGGAAATGGCGCGACCCCAAAACTGCACCCTCCACAGCGGCCAGTTCCCCCTGTCCTCTGAGATCTTCCCAGGTGGGAGCCAGGTGCCCGGGCCCCCAGAGACCCGAGAGGGAGGGAGCAGGTGGCTATGGGGGATGAATGGGGGGATCCCAGGGGAGGGAGAGGGGTCAGCCAGGGGGGAGCAGGAGCTCTGTGGGGCTCTGGCTCACCCCCCACCACCCTCCCCAGTCTTCCAGGCCCAGCTGTGGATTTTCCTCATTCCCACGGCCCTGGGCTTGGTGCAGCTGGGCCTGTTCCTGGAGCAGATGGGTTTCTTCCTGCGCCACCTTGGGGGATGAATGGGGGGATCCCAGGGGAGGGAGAGGGGTCAGCCAGGGGGGAGCAGGAGCTCTGTGGGGCTCTGGCTCACCCCCCACCACCCTCCCCAGTCTTCCAGGCCCAGCTGTGGATTTTCCTCATTCCCACGGCCCTGGGCTTGGTGCAGCTGGGCCTGTTCCTGGAGCAGATGGGTTTCTTCCTGCGCCACCTCGGCACCTCCCTCAGGACCAGCCTCTCCCTCTGGATCCTGGGGGTCTACCCGGTAAGGCAGGAGAGAACCCAGGCGTCCGGGCTCCCAGCTCTAACCACTAGCCCCCACTCCCCTCCCAGAGCCCAGGGAGAGAACCCAGGCGTCCTGGGTCCCAGCTCCCCTGCCCCCGCCCCCCCTA